GTCCCAAGCCAGCTCTTAACCAACGTGCCACCTGGCCGGCCCAAAGGAAGCAATGGTTTTGTTTGTTTGTTTGTTTGGTTGGTTGGTTTTAGCTGAGCCATCCTGCCACCTGTTGGCAGCTCAGCAGCAACTCAGCTCGGGCCGAGCATCGAACTGCCGGCATTCTTATGGCTGCTGTTTGCATGATGTATCTTTTCCCATGCTTTCATTTTCAACCTATTTGTATCTTTAAATCTAAAGCATGTTAGTAAGCTTGTGCTAGTAAGCAAGTAGTGTTTCACTAAAATTATTTGGCAAAAATGGTCATTTTTAATAGTGACAATGTTCTCTCTAATATATGGGTGACTTAATGTTTGTTTAATGTTCCTACATCTCACACTCTTATTCTCGATAATGTAATGATGTTTTTAGAATATTTGTCAGGTATTGTCTCCCCCTTTCAGGAAATTTAAAGTAAAATATAAAATATTATCTTATTTATTCCTATTGGTCTTAGAAGTATAGCAGATATTATTATATTCATTTTGTAGTGAGAAAGCAGATGTCTATAAACTTAAATTTGAGTTTGTCTCTCACTGTTAACACTAAATAATCTTAAATCCCAATGACAAATTTAATTCTAAATTTACTGATTCAAACCACTAAAATACGAGTTTTGCCAATAATAATAGTTATAAAGCTGCCAGAAGATTCCAATTTTCATGGCCTTATTTTCCTTGAAATGTGTTTAAAAGCAAGGGAAAAAAGTTTAATTGTTATATAGTCTCACTTACTTGCTTTTAACATTAGTTAGTACTGTAGTAAAATGATTAATATAGTTTATGTGTGGGCTTCAGAAAAGGAAAAATTAGCTTCTGTAAATGAATGGCATAATGAATCAGGAAGTGAATGAATGAATGAATCAATGAGATAAAATGTTAAATGTAAGTTTTTTAGGTATTTGGTGCAATGAAAGCCTTTATAGAATTCAAGGTAGTGAAAAATAGGAACTGTTTGATATCGCAATGACCAATAATGATGCTGATGATAATTTTGATAGCTAATTTTTATAGGGTATTTATTGTTTGCCAGGTACTGCTCTTGTATCTTTACATGTATGGGTCAAGGATTAGATTGTCAAATCAGACTGACATCATGAATTGTAGATGTTAATCAGCATCAAGCTTTTCTTGTAATTTCAAGGATACAAGCAATCAAAAGGCACAGGAGAAGTAGAGAGAAGTCTTGGAAATTAAGAGAGGTCCCCAGATCCTTTCTTCCCACAACAGACAAAAATTTTAATCTCAGAGCAGTAGATAAGATTTCTGATGAAGTACATGGGTTACTTCATACAACAGAGAAGAGGACTGCAGGCTGTAAAACATCTCCATTTTATACTCAGAAAATTACATAGCTTATGCCCCATACTCATAAATCAATAGATTCTAGGCTTGTTTGCCATAATAGTTTAATTCTAAACCAGGAGTATCCTGATAAAAGCTTTCTGTGGGTAAGTACTTCTTTGCTTTTTCTTAAAGCAAATATCTGCCCTTTTTTTTTTTTTTTTGCTTTTAAGGAGATTTTATTAGCATGCTTTTAAGGAGATTAGGCCCCCCCCTTCCCCTAACTCCCCCACAGAACCTCCTCCCCAACATGGGAAGAAAATACTACTTTAACTCTTTCCTCTTCAATAGATTCACTCATTTAAATTCAAGCTCAATTACAGTAATACCTTGGTTTGTGAGCATAATTTGTTCTGGAAACTACTCGTATTGCAAGACATCACTTGTTTACCCAGTTAAAATGTATTAGAAATGTTTGCTCGCCTTGCAGAACACTCACAAACCAAGTTACTTGCAATCCAAGGTTTTACTGTATTTACTTTTTTAGTATAAATAAGGTAAAATATATTAAGAAGGAACTTCAGACATGTTTAAAAAAATCTTTTATTTCATTTGCTTTGGTTTAGTTTGGTTGGTAGAGGATGGGGTGAGAAATTCAGTAAATATACAGTAAATATAAATATATCCTCACCACTAACAGATATCCACAATGGTAGTTTATTATATTTCTTACGTGTGTGTGTGTGTGTGTGTGTGTGTGTATGCATGTGCCCATGTCATTTACGGTTCTTTCCTCTATTTGACCTTAGAATATTTGATAAATCATAAGATGGTTTTAATTTTTAATTTTCTCTATTTTTTTCTAACCCAACTCTTACATTAGGATGGCGATCCAGTTCGTCCCGGAGTGGCCATGACTGATCTTGCCACTGGCCTGTATGCATATGGAGCCATTATGGCTGGATTGATACAAAGATATAAAACTGGAAAAGGACTGTTCATTGATTGTAACCTACTGTCATCTCAGGTACCAATCCAAATAACATTTTATTTATTTATTTATTTATTTATTTTTCTTTATAGCTGAGCCATCCTGCCACCTGTTGGCAGCTCAGCGGCTGCTCAGCTCGGGCTGACTCGAACCGCTGTTGCTCAGAGCTCAAACTCTTGAGCGAGCTCTTAACCAACTGAGCCACTCAGCCGGCCCCAAATAACATTTTAGATAGTGGATAGTGGTGTAAAAATATGTAACTGGGTTATACTCTTTCATATAAAATTCAATGGGTGCATCTGCAAAAATAAAAAACAAAACAGAAAAACCAAAAACCTGTTTTGTTTTGTGGTACTTAATTGTTGTCATATTAAAATAAATGGACCATGAAGATTTTGTGGTATGTAGACATTGCTGTTGGACTAGATTTTAAAGACTGCGATTAGAATAGGTCTATTACTACTTGTGAAATGAGGATACAGTTGTTTCTATTCTATTGTCACATGAATCTGTAACTTCTTTTCTTTACCTTTTTTGTAGCATGAACCCTGTGGGTAGTCTGGCGAAGTCTGTGGACCTTTTCTCAGAATTATGTTTTTATTTTAATTTTATTTTTTTAAAGATTTTTATTGGGGAATTGGGAGAGAGGAACAGCGCTGGGGAATTGGGGAAGGGAAACAGACAAGTTGCTGTCCTTTTGTTCTTCAGCCTAGTTGTGGAGGACGTTGCTTCACTGGCCCAAGTTGGCACCATCATTGCGCTCTTCCCGGGCGAGGCAGATCAGTTGCCGGCTTCTGGACGGCTGCTCATGGCGGCTGCTGGCCACTCATGCTGGCTGCTGGCTACACACGGTAGCCCATGGCCACCCACTGCAGCAGGGGCTGCAGCCTACACCATCACGGGCGACTCATGGCAGCCCAGCTCCAAGTTGAGCTGTTGTTCAGCATCTTAACTGTAGAGTGCAGTGTCACTGGCCCTTATATGTGGGATCCGAACCGGGGCCCTCTGGCGTCACAAGCCAGCTCTTAACCAATGCGCCACTCGGCCGGCCCAGAATTATGTTTTTAAAAGTATAAAATGATATACCAAGGATTACAAAGAAGCAAGTTATATTGAAATGTAGTTATTTCAGTATAAAAACCAATTTTATGTTATACCATATATGATTTTTTATTAATACATTAAACCCCAAGCTCTATCAGTGGGTCCAATAACTATTGCAGTTTTGAGGTAGTATTGAGCCTCAATGACATTTAAGATATATGCAATAAGTATAATATGATATGAAAAGATGTATGACATTTATTGGTGATGAAGTCATAGGTACTGCTAATACTCGTGTGGTTTGTTGCCTACATTCATAATTGAAGAAAATGCTAAACTTTAGATATTGATGAAAATAAAGACATGTATTTTTTCCATTCAAGTCAATTAGTTCCCAGAATTCTTTCCATGGACTCCAGATTAAGAACCTGTGGTTTAGGTAGTTATCAGCTATGTTATGCTCAATACTAAGCTAGTGGAATAAAAAGGTTAATTCGCTCTCAAATGGAAATTTTGTCTCTTTTTTACTGGCGCAGAACCAGCTGCTATGCCATATATGGAAGTTGATTCTGACTAGATAAATTTTCAGGAATAGAAAAAAAGAAAATGTCTAATTTGTGCAAGGAGACTTCTTACTGTGGGAAAAGTTACTTTATAGAGAGAGACCTCAGTTGGGAATTTAAGATTTAAATGGCATACATGGGAAGATAGTAAACTTAGAACAGTGCTTTGGAGATTTTTTTCTCTTAGATAAAATTAAGGAGGTATACAGGGCTAAAAATATCAATATGATTGAAGGTGAAATACTATGTATAGGTTTTCAACACTAGCTTTGAGATACAGTCAGATTTAATGGTTATATATAAAAGGGCAAAAGAATCTCTCCAAATGAATGATCTGTCTCATTAACAGAGAAACACAAATGTTAGTTGTGAGAAGAAGCTGAAATTTTTTTCTTATTTCCAATAGTTTTGTAGCTGTAAGGAACCTGAGACAGGTTAAGTAACTGGCTAAAGGATGCATATGCAGTAAGGATGGAAGCCATGAAAATTTCATGGGTGTGTAACCTGTGCAGTCACAGGGGGCCCGAGGCTCAGTTTAAATGTCCTGTTTTCATTGCCTTGAAATTCTTAATAACTTTGAACAAGAGGCCCTAGATACACTTTTCATTTTGCAACAGTATTCGCAAATTTTGTAGCTGGACCTGGATTTGGGACTCTAATAGGTCTGCAGATCTCTACCTGGAATGCTTTACTTCTACGCCAATGATGAATTAATTAGCTTTGGAAAAATTATCTTGCGGAGTATTATAGAGTTTAATTCTCCTCTAGCACCTAACAGTGATTCACAATGTGGAAGTCTGTAGTTCCCTGGGGGTTGGCGGTGCAGGTGGGGGTTCAGAGTGTGGGCACAGTAAGTGCCCACATACACACACATGCATTTCAGTCATTTTTATTTTTACATTTCAGCCATTTTGGGTGTGTGACTATCAGTTTCATGAGTGTAGGAATGATATTTGTTCTTGCTTACAGTGGTATCCTCAAAGCCCAGCCCAGTATTTTTCAAATAGCAGGCTCACCCAATCTTTTGAGATCAAATGGAGAACCATATTACCAATGGGTAGGTCTCATTAGCCCCTAGGTTTGCTAGAGAAGATTAGAAAAAGGTAGAAAACCATTGACTTAGGATAAGTACTTGATAAACAACTAATAATGAGATGATTTGCTTTTGGAAAACATGGTAGCAGTGATTTAGCCTATTGCGCTGCGACTAACCTAGTCAGAGGTTGCTAAGATTATTAGTGTATCTGAGACTCATTACCTACCTTTTTAAAAATTGAGGGATACTTGACATGTAACATTATATTAATTTCAGGTGTACACCATAGTGATTTGCTATTTGTATGTACTGTGAAAAGATCACAAATTCTAGTTAACTTCCAGTACCATACATGTTACAATTTTTTTTTTGATGAGAACTTTTAAGATCTACTCTCTTAGCAACTTTCAAATATGCATTTCAGCAATAATGTTAGTCACTATGCTGTACATTACATCCCTATGACTTATTTATTTTATAACTGGAAGTTTGTACCTTTTGGCCCTCTTTACCCATTTTGCCCTCTCTCACTGCTGCCTCTGGCAACCACCAGTCTGTTCTCTGTATCCGTGAGCACGGTATTTTTTAAAAAATTAAAAAATTTTTTTTGTATAATTGTTTTTTGTATCTACATTAAGTAGATAACATTTTAACTTAATTTTAGCTGACTGGAAAATGACTGCAGTTTCATACAGTGGTAAACACACCTTTCTACTCTTTGATTATATTGCATAGGATGATGAATGATTATAACAATATCAGTTGCTAAAAATGAAATTTTGTACTCCATCTCTCAAAAGCAATTTAGTGTACAATGGACAAACTACATTTGATTTGAATAGTAGCGAATTATTAACTCAGAGATGATTGCCTCAACCACAACAAACTGTTACATTGTATAGACATGACAGTTGCCAGGATGTGGTTTTTAGTGGGCACTAAATATTTGTAGTTTCATGACTATAAACTTTTAACCCTTGTCATGAAATTCTTTGATTTTTTTTTTTTTAGTCTTTATATGATTTAAAGTTGTCAACTGAAGATTGTCTAACGTCAGCATTTAAACAGTATTCTTTAGATGATATTGGTAAATAACAAGGAAGTGGGTTTGGATGTGGTTCCAATTATTCTGTTGCTCTTATTCTTCTGTTGTGGCTTACAGAAATATCTTTTGGAAGCTTTAATATCCTTCCTGTACTTAATTGCAACCAGGCTCCCATAATTACTACTACAATGAATTAGTTTTTTTTAACACCAAACTTCAGGAATTGTTTTCACATATAGAATGTTTTGGCATGTTTTTTGGTCACTATTCTTTCTCCATGTTTGTAACATTGTTTATATTTAGGTAGATAAAATTTTAACTCTCATTATTGGAGCATATCTTTAAGGATAAACTTGAATTTCAAACAAATATAGTAATCTGAAGTTTATCTTTTTGTGTTTTAGGTGCACCTCTGTTTCTGCTTTTCTTTTTTTATTCTATATATATTTTTTACAATTTTAATGAGTTATATTTTATATACCATAAAATTCACCCTATTTCAAGTGACGATTTAATAGTTTTCAGTAATAATTGATAATTACTAGTGGGAGAATATCTCAAAGGAGAAAAGAATAAAATGGGAAAATAAATTTCATAGTAACCTAATTTAACTCTCTTGTTAAATACTTTAAAACAATTTGGTGCTTTTAAAGTGTTTGAAAAATAGAAATATAATTAACATCAAGATATAAAATAAATTAGAGGAAAAAGATCCATTGGTGTTGACAAATATTCACTGAAATGAGATTTTTGTCCTTGTAGAATCATCTGTAGTACTAACTATAGTTAGAACAATTTGTTTTTGTTGCTAAGTTAGTCGATTTCACCTTCATTTTTGTACTTTCTAGAGTCAGAAAATTTTATGTAGAATAAAAGGTAATCCCTCTGTATTGGCTAGTTAATGGTGGCTCTTTATCTGCCATAAGTTATGGACCAGCTGATTCCTAGTAGGAGGTATCCATTTGACCCCAACTCTTACACCATCATTGTAGCTAAAGGATAAGTAGCCACTAACATTGAGCATGGCGGCTCAGATTTAATTTCTAGGAAAATCACTTTACTTCTTCACAGAATGTGTATGAGGTATAATGGTGAGTAAATTTTAAATATTTTTTAGCCTAGAGTCATTACATACAAGCAATGTATAATAAGATCTTGATTAGCTGGAGCGCTTAGCAATTTGTGTATTCTGGTTGATTTCATTTTATAGATGACTGAGGGCTAAAAGGAAACTGCCTTGGTTTCAACCATTTTTTTATAAAAAATGTTCTAAAATGCTTTAATTTACTTTTCTGTTGTGGTAAATGCCATATACTAAAAGTATTTTTACCTTAAATGTTATTGTGAT